AATTCATTGTATTTCCCTAGTAATAATTTAGTTTAATACCAGTGTGAACTGCACGTACAAAGTAAATATAAAATATTTATGTGGCAAATAAAGTGTATAAAAGTCCCATTAATTTGAAGGGTTTATATTGTGATGTGAATTAATTTTATGGGTGTTTTCGGGGTAGCACTTGTCACCACAATATATAGGCCATAATTAAGGGTTAATATGTATTTAATTATTTTTAAGTATGCTTTTATAAAATATTAATTGATAATACTCCCACAATAACAGTGCTAACATTCAAACATTGCAATCTACAGTAAATAGTTAATGTTAAATAACTTATCGGAAAGCAATTAATGTTTAAAAAGATATTTCTATTAAATTAATAAAATAAAATAGTGAATAATATTTATGTAAAATTAGTGCTTGATTTAAAAAAATATTTATTGTAGGTAATAATATTATAGATAATTTATAATTCTAGAAATTATTTATATAATAATAACGGTATCCGACATGAAAGCAAGTATATTTTAATAAATAAGTAACATAAATGAATATATTGATTTTATAATTAATTATTCAGTTAATAATGGTTATGAGTTTGACATTTTGATTATATTTTTAGATCACTATTTATATCACTTATTATTTATATAGCATGCTTGTTAATATTATCTCTTAATATTACCATTCAATACCAAGAATTACGACAAATATTTTATACATGCACCTTTTTCTATAATGTTAAACACAAACAATTGGATCCAAAATTGAACGCTAAAAATGATCGCAAATTAATTTTACGATTTAACCTGTTGACTAAATATTACCTGGTTCAGGTATGCTATATTCTCGTAGTTCAGGTATCAGCGGTCTATTCATTAATTGCAGCACAGGCTTATTTGGACCCTGATACTAGTTACCCATTATTGGGTGTATTTTTTGGCAATCATGCTTCACGGTAGCATGTGTACAATATTTTAGTCCTAAAAACATCAAATCCTAAAATACATGCTTTTTATAATCTATTATATGATTACTCCTGCTTTAGAAATATTGCTATTTCTAACATATGATAAACAATCGACTTTATTATCAATTTGGTCATTTGTTATTTTATTTATTTTTTCATTTTGTGTTATATTCCTCATGAATATGATGTTTACAATGGTTAACACAATTGCATATAAATCCCGTTCAATACTGTATTCACATATTTGTGCAAAAAATACGCGAATTTCGTATAAAAATAGACTGAAATTAATGGCATTTATGGAGCGATTGTCGGCCAAAGACATTGGTTTCTATTGTTATGATTTGTTTCTTATGAATAACTATGAGTTCAAAGAATTTATTGTGTATTTTATTAGCAGTCATTTTTTGTTATTAAGCCTGGTAAATTAATTATATTTTGATTGCCTTGTTAATGATATATATATGATTTAATTATAAAAATACACTTTTACAAACAATAAAACATAAAATATTGTTTACATTACAAATTTATTTGTAGATTATTGCGAAATAAATTTATATTCAAATTATAATATTAATATAAATTATTATGGTAAGTTATCACTAAATGTCTGTGCTAATTGTCTAGATTAATAATAATTAATATAATTATCAGTAACAAATTAGGTTCTTGCAGAAATATGATAAATATTAATATTTTGTTTACCCAATATCAATGTCAAAATAATAAAAATGCAAACATATTTGAATATAATATCTAATTTGCTAGTAATTTGCATGTTATTTATGATACTCATTAATAAATTTGAATATTCATAACGTATGAGCTCATTTAATATTTATTTACGCTAATTACTACTTATGAATTAAATTGTAATTAATCAATGTTAAAAAATCTCCCTATCTCACTTACTTAAAATTCATAAACAAGTTGTACTTATAATGATAAGAATTACTTAATTAATGCTAAAATAGTTTTGAAGCATTTTAAACAAAATATTTTCAAAACTAGAAAAATGTTAAAAATAAATTTCATTAAAAAATAATTTCCACTAAAATATTTGATAAGAAATGACAAATTAGTGACAAATTTATATACATTAGTATACGATTGATAATGGGACAGGTAGCTGTTGGGCACACCTAATAAAATATTTTAAAGCATATCAAATACATTACATATTTTCACAGATATTATACTATTTGTAAAACTAAAATGTTTTTATTGATTACGAAAAGTATTTGAAAGTGAATTTTAATTGCTACACACGTGACTATACAAGTATATTCTAGTAATTTATATACAGTTTTTAAAAATGAATTTTAAGAATATTTTTAGATTTTGTATTATATAAACACAACTTTTAGTAACTTGATAGATATATAAATTATTATTAAGCCAAAAATGTTTTTTAATAAAAACTTAATTTAATGTATAAAATATGATTAAAGATAACATTTCGAGAGAGAGAGAGAGAGAGAGAGAGAGAGAGAGATTTTGAGTAAAAATTTGAAACTAGTTTTTAATAATTAAGTTTGAAAGCTTCTCAAAATATAATGTTTAAAAAAAATATAATGAAAGTTCAATTTGATTGCTCGGTATCTTAATTATACATCAAATCATTGGCACATAAGTATAAATACAATTGACTATAATTTTGTTGGCAAACATAAATAATACCTTATTTACAAGTATGCGTTGTGCTAGTATATTATGTATACTATATATAAGTAGTTATATATTTCTGAAAGGTCAATGCCAAAGGTGTATCAAGAAAAATCTTTAATCTTTAATATTATTAACATGTAAAGATTAAAGATGTTCCTGATACAATTTGGCGTTGCTTACTCAGATTTATATTTCTGGGATACTAACTTGTAAGAAAAAATACACTGGGATACATTATACATTTTGTATCTTTATAATTTCAATTTTCCTAACAAAATGTCACTGTAATCAAAATAATTTGTTATTACTTAACTAAAAAACAGAAATTGTTCATGATAATCATACAATGTCTTAATAATCTCAATTCTATTTATGAGTAATTTCTACTTGACATTTATGAGATAACATTGTATTTCTATTGTATTATTTGATTGAAATTAAACAATAATTTTAAGTACTGCGATAAAGTATTAAGTATTATATTAGTGCAATTAAATACAATAATAGTAGTTTAGTTATTAAAATCTATTAAATCATTTTTATAACTAACGGAATGAATAATAAATAAAATTTTATTATGAGGTTATATAAGTTATTAATAATAATAAGCACTTTATATTATGTAGCCTTGATAATATTTGTAAATAATGTGCAACCCATAAACATTACCCAGTTTGATCCATGTGAAACGCGGGCCAACTGTAGACGTAACCAATATTGCGCTGACCATGTTTGCCAGTGCAATGATGGATTTAGACTGGATAAAGTTACCCGGGAATGTGTGCCATTTTATTGTATCAATGACAAAGATTGTCAACTATTTGACCATAACCGAATTTGTCAAGTATCTTACCGCGATCCATGCGTTAGCCAATATAATGACACGGCTAGTTATTGCATATGTCGGCCACTGTATGCTCCAGTTGGTTTGTCGTATATCGGTAAGTGTGCTAACGTACCCAGCACATTACACACAATGTGCGATAGTGGGTGCGACTGTTATAGCGATATACATCAACGGTGCGTGAATAGCCAGTGTCGGTGTCAGCCAGATTATTATGGGACGAGTGAACATGTCTGCGAAAAACGACCTTGCAACTCGACATTGGACTGCTATCATGAGTACGATACTAATAGGATTTGTAGTAAGTTACAAGATTTTGGAACAGGTCACTTGATTTATTTGTACATTTCATACAACACTAATCACGCACAACGTTACGATATGCCAATATCAGTGACTAGTGTAGTGTCGAGTGAACAGATTTACCAAGTTTATTTATCACTAGTTGCAAGCATTACTATTACATGACACTAAAAAACATTTACAGGTAATGGTACCAGCGCAGAGTGTATTTGCGATTATGGTTATGTAGCTAATCCAGGGGATAATGTATGCGTGCTACGAACTAATACCACCACCGTACCTTACGAAACTAATGCCGATTCTGCCCCCAAGGACAACTACATTATTATCGGTGTATCAATTTTGGCAATAATTATCATTTGTTGTATTTGTGGATATATTTACTATAGACGCAAACGTAACAATAAACTAGCTGGTATACTTGATAATAGAGAACAAAATAATAATAATAATAATATCGAGTTAAATAATTTAGCAAGTCAATCTAATATTATTAGCAATGTTCAGGTTGATAATGAGAATGAAACAAGTATGAATACAAATAATAATGTGAATGCTATTGAACAAAGTGAAAGTTCATCAAGCCGTCAAAATTATGAGCATGATAATTTTGAAGTAAGTGAGTCGGCACCTCCAGCTCCACCCACTTATGATGAAAGTCTCAGGCAGTATAATAGAAAAGTAGAGACAATTGATATGCAATTATAATTTAAACATAAGTTTTATTTTTAATTTTTATTGCTTTTTAATTTATTTATACATTAATTTAAAAAAAAGTTATTTAATATTTAGATTTAAATATTCAATGAGAGTTGAAAAATGTTTTGTACATAAATCCGATGAAGTTATAATAAACAAAAATATTTGCTATTAAAAATGTTTGACAAAATTTATTTACAGCAAAAATTTATTTCAATAAAATTAATGATTGAAAATATTTTAATGAATTAAATAAATAAAAACTCATGGGTAATGTATGCAAAAAGCAATTTTTAAATGTACTAGTTCACTATTTATGGCATTTAAAATATTGTGAAATAAGTTGTATTTTATAACCCTATTATATACATAATTATATGTAAGCCTGGTACATTATATGAATAAAGGGTCATTCATTAATACATACGTATAATTATGGCAAGCAATATATAGCTACATAATTAATGATTAACATTAAGTAAAAATTAATACCATGGTAATTTAGATGAATTTTACAATTGATTACTGATAGCGTGTATTAGACGTCGAGGCCATTGAGCTACCGGTGCCTCCCATCAAATGGTAAGGCCACAGAGGTGTCTGCGCGCCCATCAACAGCCTCTGACTACCGGCGCTCTCGCTATCATCCGACACGTCCACCTCCTCGTCCTCATCCGCCTCGCCATCCATATCAGCCTCCAGTTCCTCCTCATCGCCGCTACCGTCCCCCTCAGCGCCGGTATGTCCCGGACTACTGTCGCCCTCCTGTTTCTGGCGCTTGTGTTTCGTACGCCGATTCTGGAACCACACCTTCACTTGGGTTTCCGATAGGCCTAACCCAGTGGCCAGTTGTTTGCGTTCACTGCCCACCACGTAATGATTTTTCTCAAACGCCTGTTCCAGTTTGAGTAGTTGACCAGGGCTAAATGCCGTACGTACCCGTTTAGGCTTACGGAATGGGGGCAGTAGGAAGGCGCCGTCGAATGGCATACCTGTCCGCACAGGGAGATGAAAATGTTTGCATTTAATGCTAATTGTTAATAGTAAAGTGTAATTATTATATAATCTTACAAAAAGTAATTAAGAATATTATAATTATTGATAGGTAATTTAAACGGCTATGTAATTTTATTTAAATCAATGTTAGCATGTTGTATTATATATAATACGCGGAGTTTTTAATTAACCAAATTTATTTGTTATAAAATTAAATCTAAATGTTTAAATGTACCAGCTTAATATGTATCTCATGGGCCAAAATGTTAATCTCACAAAAACCATATGACACTCATATTTTCATTGCTAAATCATAGTTACAGTTTGAAATTTGATTATTTAAATACTAGTAAAATATTTGAACATTAGAATTAATTATTATTTATGTTATAAACTATATATCTGATAGTCTACCAGCTTGTTATTAGCAAATTAGTAAATTAGAAAATTTGGAAAATTTTGTTAAAAATAGTGCTTGCTCTCTTAATTTATTAAAAAATAAAAATTACAATATTANTACGGCTATTATGTAAGTCTTTGTCGGCTTTACTGTTCACTATTGAGTCGATACTGAACGCGAGTTTCGGTTTGTTAGGCATTAGAGCACTGGTAGTGGTGGTGGTGTCGGTGCCGTCAGCACTCGGAGGTGACATATGCGGTGCCAAAGGCATCATAGCCTATATGTGCCGATAGTTTGTGCGATAGTGTAGTTTAAGTATTAATTAATTTGTTGATTATTAGAGCTATTATTAGTTTTTAATTAAAAGTAATCAATCATTTCATTAGACTTTGGTTTCAATGCAAACACAATAATAAAATTTAAAAAGTTTTAGCTTTGTTTACAATTTTTTATTTATATTATTTTATTATTATCAGTGGACAGTTAGCTTTAGGCCTGTCCTATAACCAACACATAACACTGTTAACTAATTAATGGCACAAATATCGCAAATTATTATTACATTAATATAAAAACCAATGGTTTAAAACAGTTAATATAAAGTCAATGCAAACAAACAAAATAATATTGAGACAAATGTTTGGTTTGAAAAAAGTTTTTTCACTGATTTTTATTGAGTCAAAAAACAACTAAAAACTAAAATATTTTAAGTTTTACGTTAAATATGATTACAGTTTTTAGTGGACACTGAGAAAAACGAGACTCACGTTCGCATTATTATCTTATTAGCCATATATGTAAGGAACATCTCAGGCCTCCCGTTCCCCTCGCAACTTAAACACTATATCACTGAATCCATGCGCTTGCGAGACGTACAGACAGAGCACCGGTATGTATAGCTGTGGTCGTGGATATAGCTATATAAGCAATATATCTCATATACACAGCGTTAAGACACACTTACATATGATATGTGTGTATATATCGAGTGCCCGAGTCTTAAGTGAATTGGTTTTTCGCAAGCCTTGTGTGT